TAGATCTGGGAGTAGGGAAGGACTATTCCAAAGCGTTTCCCTGCCTATTTTTTTCTTTGTAAATCCATCCTCCACACAGCCCCCAGAATGAAGTTTTTAGCATGCAAAAATGATCATGTCACCCCTCTGCTTGAAGGATGAAATTATAAGCCCTATGACTCATCTCCTTCTCCCTCATCTCTCACGATCCCCCTCATTTCTCACTCAAGAAACAGTGATCTACTGGTAGTCTCTACCCTCTCCCACCGCTCACTCTTCACCATATCTCTTCTCTACTCTTTGACTTTGTTTCAGCTACCATTTCTCACTAGTTCCGTCTATACTGCCTAGCTCTGGAGCCACCACACTAAGGAAGCATCCATGGCGCACATCTGATCCCCACTGTAACGTGCTCCTCTGGCATGCTCCCATAGTAACCAGCCTCTGTCTCACCCTAGCATGGATTTAAAATTGTCCATTCTTATACCTGTTCCCAACTAGGTTTCTTGAGGGCAAGGATTATCCCTCACTCATCTTTGTATACCCAACACAGAAACTGGCATGTTTGGGGACTCAAAAGACCTTTGTGTTTGAAGTAAAAGCAAATGACTTCTTCCTTGCACATCCAAGTTGTATCGTAGGTATTATTAAATAATACAAGTTAACTTTTAGTGAGCCAGTCAGTGTGCCAGTATTTTATATACATTACCTTATTTATGTCTGAAAGTATAAGAGTAGATAGATATTACTGCGATCCCCTGCATGAGGGAAAAATTTCAAGCAGGTGAGTATTGCACCTAACATTAGGGACCTCCAATAAGGCAGAGCTGGCTTTCCACCCAGACACCACTATACAGTGAAAAGAGATACGATTAAAAAGAAAAAAAAGAAATAATGGAAAAGTTCTAAGAGCTCTTTGGACTCGGATGACATTATCATCTGAGAAATTACACTAGGTTCTAGGCTTAATCTGAATTGCGGTGTTTTCCCGGATAGCTAGAACTCTGAGATCTGCAGGCAGATTTTATAATGTTTGGCCATTGAGAAGATCTAGTGAAAAATGTGAATGTATGTTCCTTATCAAATGCTCACTACAACTGAAGACCTGAAATCCTCAGAATTTCTAAATTTCTTAAATGTTTGTAGCTAACAAGAAAAACTCCTTGAAAATGTAATGCATGTTTTTGGTCTCTAGTTTTTGTCCTCCCATTCTCTCTTAGACACTTCCTCCCAGTAGGTCTTTACCACCACCCTTCACTAAAACTGCTCTTCCAAGGTCACCAATGTCACACCGCTAAACCAATGCCATCGAGTAGTCTTCCTTTGTCTTGACTTCTTAATTGCCCTGGACGTAGCTTATTGATCTATCTTGAGACATGCCCTTCTCTTGGCTTCTAAGAAATGACACTGACCTACACTTCTGGCTTAACTTTTTCTTTTTTGGTTCCTTTTCAACTCCCAGACCCCTATATTTGTGGGAGCCACCAGTGTTCAGTCCTTGGACCTCTTCTCTCTGTACTTAATTCCTAGGTAATCTCTTCTAGACTCATGGTCTTAAATACCTTCTGTCTGCTGATGACTCCCTAATTTTTATCTCCAGCCTGGGCTTCTCCCCTGAACTCTGACCTGCATATCCAACTATCTACTTCACATGTGCATTTTGATTCTGACAGACAGATATGACCTGTCCAAAACCAAGATCTTAATATTTACCAGCACTGTCCTCAAACCCAACCATATCTCTCTGTAGCCTGCCTCATCTCAGTCAATAGCGATGCCATTCTTCCAGTTGTTGGGTTGGTGGCATCCTTGAGTCCTCTTTCTCTTACCATCATCACTCAGTCCATGAGATAATCTGGTCAGCTCTACCATATACATACACCCAGAATTATACTAATTTTAATAACCTGCAATGCTACCAATAATAGCCCAAGCCACAATCATCTCTTGCTTAGATTACTGCAATAACCTCCCAATTGGTATTCTTGCTTTTGTCTTTGATCCCTCACAGTGTATTTTCCACACAGTCACCAGAGTGACCCTATTACAAACTAAGTCAGATTGTGTCACTTCTCTGCTCAAATCCTCAATAGCTCCCATGGACTTAGCACAGTCCTCATCAAGACTTACAAGGCCCTCCCTGATCTGGCCTCCCACCCACCTCGCTGGTCACTTCACTGACCTCAGGTCACTTCTTTGTCCTCCTTCTCTCTGATCCACCCTCACTGGACTACTTACTGTTCTGCAAACGTATCAGACACACTCCCGTTTACCAGTCTATGAACTAGCTGCTCCTTCTGTTCCAAATGCCCTACCCCAGATATTAACATGGCCAGCTTCCTCACTTCATTCATGACTGACTCAAAAGTCGCCTTCTAATTACAGCTTTCCCTGGCTACTCTACCAAAAGTATTTATCTTGATGATTTTCTGTCTTCTCCGTTTGAAACGAGCCAGGGATTTTGGTTGATACAATCACTACTGTATTCTCCTGGGTCTAAATCAGTGTCAGTACATAAGAAGTGCTTAATAAATAATTATTGAATGGATTAAACATTCAGTAGTGGAAGTCGCTACCCATCCCATATTCATACTTCCTAGTTATCAGTGATAAATCTCCAAAATCAGAACCCTGAAAACCCAAAAGCTATTTTTCAGTCTTGACTGTAACTGTGCTTTCAATTAGCAAACCAGGTGGCTCCAAACTTTACGACGCCTGGAATGCTATCAAGCACACAGATTTAGGTATGGAGTCCAAAAGCTCCAATATTTCTGATCTCTCGCAAACGTTGCGTCTGCATCCCCACCTTTCCTGGGCCATAGCTTGCTAATTTCTAAATGGGATGTATGATCTCATGCAACGCAAGTATTTATGCAGAGTTATAGAATAATTTTAAACTCAAAAACCGCCAGCAGTAATTTGCATGAAAAAAATCTTTAAATGAATATTTCAAAGTATGCATTTTCAACAAAGTAATTCAAACATTAAAAGTGTTCATTGGAGCTCTAAAATTAAGAATCTTCAATGGCACGTTGATTTTTTTTCTATCAGGTAACAAAAATGAAACATGGTCAGAGAATTTTGTGGAACAGGTGGAACCAGGGAGGGAAGTAAAGGCACATGGAATTGTGCTGATCAACTGAAGTTCTCCTCTTTCTGGCCAAAGCCTCCCTACCCCCAAATAGACACAAACACACACACACACACACACACACACACACACACACACCCAAACCCTCAGAAACATTCATTCCAGATATTAGAGTACAAGCAATTTTCACAACATATTTACTTTTAAAACCTCTTCCCAAATTCAAGAAAACAACGAGCTGTTAGGCTCTCTTCAGCCCCATTTCCACTCCCCAACCTCTCCACCAGACCCACACTCCCTATTTTTACTAAAATGATACAGTGGAACACGCACAAGTTTAGCATGTATAATCAGCGGGAGAAAGAGTTGGAAGCTAATACTTCTGGTCTCTGTCCCCAGGTCTGTGCAGGAAATGAAACCGCCTTTAGTAAGTCACCTGGACTCTCTGGGACTCAGTTTCCTCCTCTCTATGGTGCCCGGGAAAGGTGTCAAGTGGCTTTAGTCTCCCACAAATTCCACCAATTCCCTGCTCCTTGACATGACCTAGTAACTTATTTTACAAACTTACAAAACAAAGTTTCCATACTTTGTTGTTGTTCCAGACTTTCCATATGCCTCCCAGCCCCCTCTTCCAACCAGCTTGCTACTCCTGAGTCCCTACATTATAGATATTTTGGTACTGGCACTGGGTTGGCATTAATGATTGTCTACCTCCAAAATTCTATTAAAGAGAGAGAAGGAGTGAGCTAGAGAGACTATTTTCATTTCAGTAAATATACCTAGCATAATTTGGGGCAGCAGAATTCCAGTCTGCGTCCTTTTATACCAGGCCAGTCCACACTGGCAATTACTGTGCCGAATTAAAGAAGCCATTGGACACCTGCCTTGCGAACACAACAGGTTCCTTTTTTTATCCTATTTATCTTCACAGTTATCTATTTATGTCAAGAAAGAAAACATACGAACGCAGCATCTGTTACTAGAGTGACACAATTACCAAATACTTTCATAAGGGGGAAAAAACCGACAACAAATCCAGGTTAGCTGTCAGGTGTTTTAGGAGACAAAACATTAGTCTTTCAATCATAGTGTCTTGTTTAAGCTGAACATATGGTGCTATCGGCAGAGAATCACCAGCTCAGCCCGGTCTTTGATGGGCATACCGACCATAGAAATGTCACCTCCTCTGAAACGGCAAAGAAAAGTAGATTTCCCTACCAAGGCCAGTCCAGCCCAGCCCCTCCATCCCTCTAATAAGCAGGTAACAAATTCAAGGGACTTCATAATTGGTTAGTTTTCCCCCATTGTTGGAATCTATGTAAATTCAATGACAGATATGGAGGAGTCCTTTACTTTTCCCAGGGACTAAATTTAGACAAAATATAACAAATTCCAGCCATAACAAAGTAGTAAAAATTCAAGGCAATTTATCATTGGTTACTTTGTCACTACTATTGAAATTTATGTAAATTGAATGTCTGCTTTGGGAAAATTCCCTACTTTTTTCTACAACTAAATGTAGATAACTACAGCTGATCATATAAACACTGTGATTTTTATTTGCTTTGCTCTTTTTCCAGATACAATCAACAGGTCTATGTGATTCTTTATTAAATTTGATTTAATTTTATGGATGTCTTAGTCTTCAGATGGGGAGGGGGGAAAGACAGAGAGAGAGGGAGAAAGAGAAACTGGAGTTTGAGAGATTGCACTATCTCCAAAAAGAAGTAACTGTCATATTTTAGTTTGGATACTAACAACTTATTCCTGGCATTCTCTATACCCCGCAGCTGCCGAGCACTGGCCCATAGACACGCCCAGCTGGAGTTTGCTCCAGCCCAGCTGTTTGCCTCCATCCTGCACCGTACCCCACCATGCGCCTAGGTGCCCCCGTGGCGGAGCCGCGGAAGGTGGGCAGCGAGCCGTTTACCTGCCAGGCTGCCCGGCCTCTGGAGGGTGGCCGTGGCATACAGCTCCTGCGAGTGCTTGCTGTACTGCTCGGACGCGTGGACCAGGCGCTTGGTGGGCGACAGGGTGGCGTACGTGCCGATGGTGGAGCTCAGCTGGTGGATGGGCGAGGAGGAGATGGTGGACTGCACGGTGGGGGGCGAGGTCACGCGGATCGGGGACAGGCCGGCCGAGGACACGACGATGTTGATGGGCGAGCTGGTGCTGTAGGACTTGGCCAGGCGGCTGGGCGACTGCTTGGGCGAGGAGCCGCGCGGCGCGGCATAGGCGGCGCCCTCGGGGGCCGAGCCGCCGCGCTGCAGCTTGGTGGGCGA